GCAACCCCCCATATACGCCGAAAAAAAAAAAATAAAAAAAAAAAAATTTTTTTTTAAAAAAGTACCCTCAACATTTTTTCGAAATTAAATTCTTTGTTGGACGCACACGTTTTTGTATAGGAAGATACAATCAAAGAACACTAAGCACCACTTACAACATTGATTGAAATCACTGACTTTTCATCGCTCAAATCTTACTGCATTTATCCCCGAAAATGCTTAATATTTTAAAACCCTGAAGATTTGACTGCAGGGAACATGAAAATGCATATTTATTCCAGAGAAAACAGAGATAAGAGCACAGCTGTGGGCTTTACATGTCCTGCTGCTGTTTGGAAAATCGAACATGCCCGAGGAATTAGGACAATATTTGGTATGTAATCTGCTCCTCCTTTTTTGACTTTATCAGCAGCTGATAACATTCATGATTGTCAGATTGACAGATTCATTGTAGTCATATTCATCATTTAAAATGCAGCATTAGTTATTTCCCTCGTAGAGAACATTAGAGTGGTGTGTGTAAGATAGACAGTATGGCAGTACAGTATAGTTGATGTGGTCCAGGGTGCTGCAGGGATTGCACTGCCTTAACATAGGTCAGTATCCACCACAGATGTTTCAATCCTCTGCAGTTCACTCAGAGGGAAAGTGCAAGCTTCAAGTGGACCATTAGGCCAGGCCAGATTTCAGTGAGGGTTTTAAGACCGTTGCCCCACAGCCTCCAGGCATATCAAATATGAATAGAAGAAGTCCTGGAAAGAGCCCAATCAATTTCAGTGGACGAGTAATCAGAGCACTTCAGTCTTTGGCTTACAAACACACACAGACCCTACACTAACAAAACAAAACATAAAGGTTGCAATAATCTGTCTGATCATTTAAAACAAAGGTATAAAGAGTTATGGAAATATTCACATGGTGTTGTATTGAAGTAAATACATGGCTATTTCATGCTTAGGGTTATCTAAAATTAATGTCTGTTACAAATAAAATATGGAGGATAACTTAAGTTTCGCTCAGGTTTTAGATGAGAGACCCAGTATTTAATTTAAGAATCAGCCTTCAGGACAATTCAATACCTTAAAGCGACAGTTCACCCCAAAAAATAATTATTCTGTCATTGTTTACTCACCCTCATGTTGTTCCAAACATGTGTGCCTTTCTTTTGCAGAATACAAAAGCAGATCTTTCGATGAACCAAACTGTTTTGGTTGCCAGTGCCACTGGTTTTCATTTTAGATTTTTAATTTTAAAAATGTTCATTTTTCATCTTTATGCTCCACAGAAGAAAGAAAGACAACGAGGTTTAGAATGACTTGAGGGTCAAAAAAAAAAAAAACTTTTGTTTTGGATAAACTAGAATTTTTGAGCAAATACAACACTTGATGTACGTGCATCATGGTGCAGTTTTATTACCATCTGGTTGAATTTATGTACATGACACACTAATATAAATATAAAAAAATATACATTCATTTAAAAAAAACTTTCAATTACATTTCATTGACAGAGTAAAAATTAAGAGAAAAAAAATTATATACATCAAAAAAGTAATAAATAAAA